ATATATATATATAATTTTTTTTATTAGAGAAACCCCTCAAACCTTTTCTCTCTGTACAGTGAATCTATAGCACCACAACTCCTAGCCTTAGACTTTCAATGGTGCAGCAGGCTAGGGCTCCTCGCTAGTAGCACACATGTTAAGGAAAGGCCAGAGTGTTTTTGTCATCCCTTTTTGTTTTGAGACCTCGGCTGGGGGAGAAATATACTGATATATATCAGTATAATATATCTTTGGAGCAGCTTTCTGCCCACTGGACTCAACACGGCTCATTTGTCAAGCACTTTTATACGCGTGCATTCTCAGTCTCGTAGGGGAGGACTTAGTATCAGTGCATGAGCAGTCCACTTTTTATGCAAGAATTCTCTGTTTTGCTGGCCAAGGGCTCCTCATCTCTACACTGACTCCTCTCATGTGGTCACCCTGCAGTGATCAACAAGGACACTAGTCTCTTTGCACGGTGGGCTTAGATGTCAGTGTGCAAAATAAATGTGGATGGAGAAGGGAATGTGACATTTAATTTGAGTGATGTGTTTCTTTTTACCCTTCACTTTAAATCTGCTGGAGAAACAGCTTCAAATGAGATATTTCCAATGCAGGTGCAAATGCAACTTTGTTTACTTTGTTACTTAATTATTTTGTTTTACCTATTGCTTTTTGTTTTCTGTTTTCCACGTGGCGCTGCTGTGTGGTATCTCTGTATGATGGCTGTTTGTTCAGTCATGCTGAAGCCACAGCCAGTCACATAATCGGCTCAGCCTTGTTTGTTGCAGCTGAAAAAGATATTGCAATGATAAGTGGCAGGGTAAAATGGTACAAAATCCTATAATGAAGACTGAAATCACTGGATTTTGCAAGCTAAAAAATATAAGAGAATATGTTGTATTTTAGCCTATAAAATCACAAATTAATAATTAAATGTCTTGAATTAATATTAAACCGTCTTTAAGGACAGATTTAGGAAAAGGAACAAATGCAAAAGATGTATAAAGAAAATTGTAATGAATGTTCCTCTTTAACTCATAAACCTTCTTTTCCCTTGTTTAATGCAGGACTTCCTGGGCCAGGCCTTCTGCACACTGGGTGAAATTGTCGGCTCCCTGGGAAGCCGCTTAGAAAAACCTTTGACGTAAGTGGCACACACCACACAATGCACGCACAATGACCAACAGTCAGCACACTCTTGGAATATGATTTTTGCCATTTTAAAGTGATGGGCAAAAATATTTGTATTACATTACTCTAATCTAGGAGTCAATAGGTAGCTCAAAGAAGCTGTTAAAATTTTAGATCATGTAGGCGTGAACTGAAAAGCGGCATGTGATTTTAAGATTGCCATTGTTTGTCTTCGAAGTGAAGCAGCGGCATGAAAATGAGTAATGATGTTGATGAAAGCCTACGCTGCCTCCAACAGCCAAATGAGATGAACACTTTAACAGCAGTAGAGCTAATGACAGACTGCAAACATGCTGAGATGGTAAAAATCAAATATTGAAAAAGGACAGTTCACCCAAAGTGAATGTGTCAGTGATGAGCTCACACATCCTTTTTGTAGAAGCCTTAACTGAACTTAAGACTTAAAGAATCTCATCAGAGATATTTTAAAATGAATGAATCTGTGATTTCATCTTCTCGGTCGCTAATTATAGCAGGAAAAAAAGCAGTGATTAGACCTGTAGCAGTTCATGTCAGATTTACGCTCGATGGGGTGTTTATGTTAGCTTGGAAGCATCCTCTAGTGCACAGGAAGTCTGTCCCCTGCTAGCATTTTTGACAGTTTCTCTCCAGTATCAGCTAGTACTGACAAAAATAAACATAAACAGTGGAGTAGTACATTCAGAGGAAGAACCGAGCTGTTAGCCTAACTGCCAACATGCCTTCCATACTGAACAGAATTACAATTATCATCACACAAGGTTTGACATTACACAATCACAATTCAATCATCAATTTCAAAAAGTACTAACAAGTCTGGTTTGAAAACATTGTATTTTGAAGTAATGACTAATTGTCAAGGTTCCCAGCTTTTTAATCGTACTAGTTGTAGTAGGATTCATTATTCACCAGTAGATCAGCAGATTCAGGTTTATTTATCTCATAGGCATAAATTTGTTCACAACTGATCAAACCTGTGAATTGGTTCAAATTACAGGTGAAAACAACTTTGGAAGATACAGAACTATGCAAAGGTTTTAGCTACTTGAGGTATTTATATTATTATTAATCACATAATGTAAAGTGTCCAAAGTATTAAAAATGGTTCTCTTTGCTGACGATACAAACATTTTTTGCTCTGGTGATGATCTGCAGAAT